GGCTCAAGTTGCATCAGTTGTAGACAGTCAACCTCACATGTCACCTTTATTAGTTCGTGGATCTCTTGATGGTCCTCTAAGAAACACAAGTGGGAGCTTGAGCTGGAGAACAGCAGCGGTTGGAGGCAGAAGTGCGTCGGGCCCCTTGAGTCCTATGCCTGCTGAGATGAATATTGTTCCTTTACCTGCTGGACGGTCTGGCCAACTTCTTCCATCACTGGTGAACATGTCAGGGCCATTAATGGGAGTACGGAGTTCAACAGGAAGCTTGCGAAGTCGCCATGTCTCTCGAGACAGTGGAGACTATCACATTGATACTCCGAATTCTGGGGAAGAAGGGCTGCACTTGGCTGCTGGAACTCATGCTGTTAATGCGAAAGAACTTCAATCAGCATTGCAAGGTCATCAGCAGCACTTGCTCACTCATGCAGATATAGCCTTGATTTTACTTGCTGAAATTGCTTATGAGAATGATGAAGATTTCCGAGAGCATTTACCTTTGCTCTTTCATGTCACTTTCGTCTCCATGGATAGTTCAGAGGATATTGTTTTGGAGCATTGTCAGCATCTTCTTGTTAATCTATTATATTCCCTTGCTGGGCGTCACTTGGAGCTGTATGATGTTGAAAATAGTGATGGAGAGAACAAGCAGCAAGTAGTAAGCTTGATAAAGTATGTTCAATCTAAGCGAGGTAGCATGATGTGGGAGAACGAGGACCCTACGGTTGTGAGAACAGAGCTGCCAAGTGCCGCACTCTTGTCTGCTCTAGTGCAGAGTATGGTGGATGCTATTTTCTTCCAAGGAGATCTACGGGAAACTTGGGGAGCAGAGGCACTTAAATGGGCTATGGAATGCACATCAAGACACCTGGCCTGCCGCTCACACCAGATTTACCGTGCTCTGCGGCCTAATGTAACTAATGATGCTTGTGTATGTTTGCTACGTTGCCTTCACAGGTGCTTGAGTAATCCAGTACCAGCTGTTCTAGGATTTGTTATGGAGATCTTGTTGACATTACAGGTGATGGTGGAGAACATGGAGCCAGAAAAGGTGATATTATATCCCCAGCTTTTCTGGGGTTGTGTTGCCATGATGCATACAGACTTCGTTCATGTGTATTGTCAGGTGCTGGAGCTCTTTTGTCGTGTAATTGATTGTTTATCATTCCGAGATAGAACAACTGAGAACGTGCTTCTTTCAAGCATGCCCCGGGATGAGCTTGATTCAACTGTTAGTGACAGTTCTGACTTCCAGCTGGAATCTCGGAATGCTTGTGAGCCATCACCCTCCAATGCAAAGGTGCCAGTCTTTGAAGGGGTGCAGCCGCTTGTTCTTAAAGGGCTTATGTCAACTGTCAGTCATGGTGTTTCCATTGAAGTTCTGTCAAGGATCACTGTGCCTTCATGTGATTCCATCTTTGGTGATACAGAAACACGCCTGCTAATGCACATTACAGGCTTACTTCCCTGGCTCTGCTTACAGCTTAGCCAGGATGCAGTGGTCGGTCCTGCGTCACCACTCCATCACAATTATAAAAAGGCTTGCTCTGTTGCAACCAACATAGCTGTGTGGTGTCGAGCTAAATCAATAGATGAATTGGCTGCTGTGTTCATGATTTACTCCCGAGGTGAGATCAAAAGTATAGACAACCTTCTAGCTTGTGTTTCACCATTACTATGCAATGAATGGTTCCCCAAGCACTCGGCTCTAGCATTTGGGCACCTCCTACGTCTTCTTGAGAAGGGGCCAGTTGAATATCAGCGTGTCATACTTCTTATGCTGAAGGCATTGCTTCAGCATACTCCGATGGATGCTGCTCAGAGTCCACATATGTATGCAATTGTATCTCAGTTGGTAGAGAGCACTTTGTGTTGGGAAGCACTTAGTGTATTGGAAGCGCTCTTGCAGAGCTGTAGCTTACCTGGATCACATCCGCATGAGCTGGCGCATTTTGAGAGTGGACTTGCTGGCGCTGAAGAGAAGATTCTTGCACCTCAAACCTCATTTAAGGCTCGGAGTGGGCCATTGCAGTTCGCTATGGGCTTTGGACTTGGAGCTGGTTCTACACCAGTTGCCCAACCAAATGCATCTGAATCAGGTTTATCGGCCAGAGAGTTGACACTGCAAAACACGAGGCTGATGCTAGGGAGAGTGCTTGATAGTTGTGCACTTGGGAGAAGGAGAGATTACCGAAGATTGGTTCCTTTTGTAACAAGTACTGGGAACCTATAGCAATATATTTTGCACATTATTTTGGTAGAACAAAGTTTGAAGATCCAGGGATTGGCTTTGTAAATATGTGTAGTCCTTGTTTCACTATGTAGAGTTAGTTCAGTTACTATATTCAGAATGCACCAAGCTCCCTCGTGTAAAACAATTTTTATCAGCTATAGCTTTTGCCTCTAATCAATTACTAAAATTTTATATATTTCAATTAGTCTTGCAAGGTTCTGCAAATTACTTTGGTTTAGCATCTAATCTATCAAATGACAAATTATACTTCACCATTGAAATAGTTTTGCAGATCCTTCAAAAATCGTTCTATTGGAAGTGCAACCCACTTGAATTCCTTTCAGAAGATGAAGTTTTTATGCTTGTTAAAGGAAAAATAACAAGAGAGTGAAAACCGCCCACTGGATGGATGATTACTTATGTTAAAAGAAAGTAGTAATTATTATAAGAAACGGTTGACAGAATTTCACTCACTCCTTTCACCATAAAAAAATCTCCTATGAACAAAAGCACCGACGCCAAAGAAAATAATAACAATACAAATAAGTTGAATAGTACTAAATACCAGCCAACTAGAAAGACCGTCTAGCGGACAATGATATTCATAAAGGAAGAAAAAATCCAGCATGTGAATATTACATCAAACTCAACCAAGGGAAACAAATACACAAAAAAATAAACGTATATCATACAGGAAACTGAAGCCATATCCAAGTTGAACTTGCTGTGGCTTTTGCATTCAGTTTACACATCATCATCTATGTAAGACAAACTGCCACTGGATATAGTGTACAAGAATGTCGAGCCATGCTTTGATACATGTTGAGCAAAGCTACTCAAATTTTGTAATATAGCAGTATTTATACACTTATTAAAATGCGACTCCAGCAGCTTCAAAGAAAAGCACCATTTCCTGAACCAGTATCATCTTGCCTTCGCTCTATCTTCACAAAGGAGTACAACTAATACTTCCACTTCCTCTGTTGCACAGGCACACGAGAAATCACTCACGCGGTGCTGAATTCTTTTTAATCAAGGCATAGGCGTCGCTATATATGGCCACCAGGTTCGAAAAGACAGCAAGGACAATCATAAAAATACACAAGATCCTGTCCCTCTTAGTTGATATGCCGTACCGATCCCTGGAACAGAAATACAAACAATTCAATAAATGCTTATCTGATTTAGCCATACATCTGGAAGAAGAGGGTGGTGGGCTTCGGAAAATACAGAGAAGAAAATCTATTGCAAATATAAATATAAAAATATATCTGATTCTGTAGATCTTATAGTTCTGAATGTAAAAACAACAAATTATTTAATCCATCAATTGTATCAGTGATTGAAGCTAGTTGTCAAGATGTTGCAGAACCATCCTTTAATTGTATTTAACCGTGCAATATCCAAGAACCTCCATATTTACTACCACAGAATTCACAGATGTGACCTCTCTCTTAACCACGATCTCTTTCAATTCACAACTGTGAAAACACTTGGATAACAAAATATTCTTAGCCTTTTGACCAACTCTTCTCCCATACAAGTTAGATGTCTGTGTTGTTAGTCTCACATTTCGCTATTTATAAAGGGAGAGAAGGTGGATAACAAAATATTCTTAGCTTAATGGCTTTCTTGACTGGAGGGCAGAGTAAAAATGTGACCACCAAAATTTATGAAGGGCAAATTAACCATATGCGCCAGCAATGATTTTCCTCGGTTCCCGTTCCCATAAAACTCAGTGCTTGCAACAAGTCAAGCTATTATCCAAGTTTTGGATTTGCAAAGCATCAGTTAAGTAATACTTGAAATAAATTGTCAAACAGAAATGTGATTACCTGAGTGTAATAGCAGCAGGAAATATGAACCCAATGCAAACAGCAGCAGTTGCTCCAGTGAATTGGAAAGCATCCCAGATGCTTGGGATGAAATTCGCCCCCAAAAAGATGATGGCAATGAGCCCACTGCTTAAAAATGCAAACCTCGAATTGTCCAAGGTTAGAGGCCTCGCAGAGGGAAAGAGAAGGCCGTCCAAGTTAAGCCGCAGTGGGTAGAAAACAATGGGAAAGACAAGCATAAGGTGAGCAGCATAGCTGACACGCACAACATCATTAAGCAGGGAGCCAAATGGAATTCCAAGATCAGCATCAAAGTTGGCAAGCACATCATCAAGAGTCGCATCGCCAAATAGTAGAAATCCAAAAAGGCTTGTCAACACATACACACTTGAGCAAAGAGCTAGCGCACTTTGCACCACCGCTCTGATCTGCCTGCCGTCTTCAAGTTCATTTTCTATGGAGTGAACTGCAGATGTACATTTTTTAGTCTAATATCTTGTGGCAAGTCGTAAGATGGATGTACAGTTAACTTTCCATTAACAACTGCATCGTCCAGATTGACAAGCATGCACATCAAGGAGGAAAATTCACATAGGATATTATAATAAGTCAAATAGAGATAATATAAAGTGGAGTAGACAGTTGAAAGTACTATATCGAGGCCAAAGTAGTTATAAGTAGGATCATTTAAGCTAATAGGAATTCTTGATGGTTTCGCTACCATTCATAGACACAGATCAAATCAAGAGGGATAGACTAACAGACAAAAGTATGAGAATAAAATCATAATGCAAGGAATAATGACCTTGAGAGATGATACATTTGAGTAATTCTTTTGATCGATATGATATACTTGAGTAATTCAGATGGTAATCATCAACTAATGCACCACATAACCAGAAATTTTGCATTAATAGTACTTTCAATATGATAAAACATTTTGCACTAAAAAAGTTCGAGATATGCAAGACTCGTTCTACTAAGAAGTCTGAAAGTATAAGATAAGAATACAAAAGCTACGGAAAGTATGTAGCAAAGATTAATGAAAAGCAATTACTACAGACAGCATAACATAAATGTTTTTACTGTTGAAACTTGAAACTAAGTGTTCCTTATCATAAAGCATTAGCAGTTCATCATTCATTACTCAAATATCAGCCAAACAAAGTAACAGCAACATCTTAAAAAAGAAGAAGATATAATTGGGATATTACCATTATAGTGACAGATGTATGCAGTGACAAGTACAGGAACGACAGTGAAGAGGTTGAGGAATGATGTCAGATCATGAAAATCGGGAAGCAATCTGGGCATAAGAATGGATCCATTTATCAGCTTGAATACGGTGATTCCCACAGTCACGACCAGGAATACAACAGCCAAGGCAACTGATAATGCGGATGTATATCTCAATGAATCTGTAATGCCAAAATGAGGAACTTAATATCGCTGCATTTTGCACTTAAAATACAAAGAGATGGCGCTACTGATATTGAGATTAATGCTGTACAGAAAAACTTCTATTTAAAGGAAAAAGGACATACAAACTTATATATGGGAAATAAAAATAGCATGAAAGGATTGTATAACTAAATATAATTCAAAAAGCTTATACATTTCCGGGAAAGGATTACCTATACGCTTTAAGCAAGCCAACGGTGCAAATACGCCAAGGGTGGTGACAAGAAGAACAAAGAATCGCCCATTCCACCAATGAACCCCAAACCAACCTTCCAGGACACCAGCATGGTGCGTTCCACTTGAAGCTGTTCCGGAGAGAACGTCACCTTTACAATGAGAATATAAAGAGAGTGTCACAATCATCATGGAATTAAACGAGGGTAACAAAGTAGTAAACTTGGTACTCATGGAAGCTAAGTCTTTAAGGCGTCGGTAATCAATTAGTAGTTCACACCTACCTATGATAATCATGTATACAACAAGAACACCAATATTATTAACTAGTACACATATTTGAAGCAACATCTTCCCATATTTTCCAAAAGCATCGCCCATAAGACCTCCATAAGAAACTGATTTCGAAGTCCTACTAAACCTGATTAACAACTCAATTGAAGCTTCTGTAAGGAAAGCCATCAAGATGATCATAACAATCCCAGGAATGAGTCCCAACACCTTCATAGTCGCGGGCAAGGCCATAATTCCAGCACCGACGATTGTGGTTGATAAATTAAACACAGCCCCACTAAAAGAAGCCCCATTGAACTCATCGAATCCGCCATCTTCCTGGTGCTTGGTAGGCAATAATGGTGATTGCTCGTCAACCACTGCTTGTTTGCTCTTTCTTGATTTCTTCTCTTTTACAGATTTAATGCTTCCAATTGTCATGTTTCAATTCTGAAGTTCCTATAGCTGAAAACTAGAAACTTTACCAACTATATGTACAGACCACCTTACACTTTTTGGTCCCTCTAGAAAAAAATCTGCACATAGCACTTAACAAGTATCAGTATTTAGATTCTAATATCCATTTCTGAGATTTCAAACATTCTAAAACAATAATTAAACCAGTGAAACAATTATTAGGGAAAAGTCCAATTATTGACATAAGCTAAAGAGTCAAAATCAAATCCTATTAACTACAATTAAGCCCACTAAGAGGTCATCAATAGTTTCAACAACAACAAAAAAATACTGTATCAATTTTTTTAGACCAATTAGGAGGTAAGCAATAGGCAGAATTAAATAAAGCTTCTCCAAAGCAGAATCTATTCAGTTTGCTTTAAAGCGTACAGATTACTAAAATCATACCTGAAATGGATTGAAATAACTAAAAAGCAGGAGGCTTTGAGATAAATCTTCTTTTGAAAAATTGAAGAATAAATCAAGAACCCAGAATAGAATAAATCAAGAAAAAATCAGCAGCCACCTAGAAAAATATTGAAGACCAAGAACCACAGGGTCTAGATAAAATGAATAAACTTTAATGGGTTTCGTGTGTTAATATACGAAAGAAATAAGCAGAGAGGGAGAAAGGAGAAAGCTTCACGCAATGAATTATTGAAATATTTCTAATTAATACAAACAAAATGTATTGTACAGTTTTATTGACTACGACTTCAACAAGAAAATAGAAAAGTCGGCCCTTTGATTAATTTTTATCTTGAATATGGCCTTGTCAATAATTTTCAAGAAATGGTTTTTTTTCCTTCTTTTATATTTTTCCTTCTTTAGATTAAAGGCGATACCTTTATGTTTTTTATTTTATATTTTCCAATAGAAGGATGCTAAATGCCGTACTTGTTAATGGGTTTTCTGCCCTTCAATTTGAAAAGCTTAAGATTACTGGTTGCTGTTGAAGATACAGAAGGAAAAGGTTTGTGTGTCGTTGGTTTTATAATGGAGATTTTTTTCGACAATAAATTGTGTCCAATTGTTGATTGAGTTGGATATTTGTCTTCTCAGGGTAACTACTTATTGCGCCTTATCAACTCCAACTCCTTTCCTACTCAACATTTAGTGGGCGTTTGAACATAACAATTGTAAAATTCCAAAAAAAGTTGATTTTTTTTTTAAATGAAAATGGTGTTTGAAATTTAGAGTTGTGTTTGGACGTGAATATTATTTTCGGTTGTTTTGAAGTTTTGTGAATGATTTGAGTGAAAATTTTGAAAAATAGTTTTTTAGAGTTTTTCAAATTTTTCAAAATGCATCTTCAAATGAAAATTGGAAATTTTATGAATAAACGTTGATTTCGAAAAAAAATAATTTTTTTTGGGAAAAAGGAAAAAATTTCTTATATTTAGACGGGCTCTTAAAAAAGCCCGTTTGGACATAAGATTTTTTTTCACTTTTTTCGATTTTTTACCTTTTTTTAAATCAGTGTTTAGCAATAAAATTTTCAATTTATACTTGAAGATGAATTTTTGAATTTTTCGAAGATTTGAAAAATTCTAAAAAGCTATTTTTTAAAATTTTCACTCAGATCACTTACAAAAATAATACAAAATTATATCCATATCTAAACACAACACTAATTTTTAAATAATATTTTCAATTAAAAATAAGTTTCACTTTTTTCGAGATTTTACAATTCTTATGTCCAAACGCCCACTTTTAATTTTAACATCTGAGAAAAGAGAATCCTTATCGGCGTCAAATTTATTAAAATCCCTGACATGACCTCAAATAGGAATTTACAAGAATAGCAGTTGTCTACTCCTGACTTTATAATTCACACGTGTGGACAAGTTTTTTGACGTACATAGTACTTGGTTAGGTGGATCGGTATTACACGCACTCATTTCTTATTCACATAATAATATGTCTAATTAAATATAGTAGTAGCAAAAAAGGCATGTCAAAATGTCTTTGTACTATTTCGAGTTATTCACTTTATCCTCAATTATAATTTAAATCAATATATATCCTTATAATTAGCAAATAATCTCGTATTTTTCATTGCTACTAACGAAGCTCATGCGCAAAATGAATGGATTTTATTTATAAATACTTTAAGAAAGAACTTTCAAATTTACCCAATATAATTTTGATTATAGTTTAAAGCTACCCTCCCATTACAGATCTTTTAGAGGTCAAGGATAAATACAGTATTTTTTCTAGCTGCAGATAATATTAGATTAAGTATAATATAGGACAAAATCACTCACAATCAACGAGCAAATTTAACCTTTTCCTTATAAAAAAATAAGACGACGTTGGATTGTGGTTGTATCCCTTATTATATCATGGACACTCTTTTTTCATCTAGCCCTCTGCAAAATTGAAAGATAAGTCCAGTAAATTCATAACCCTGAAGCATTAAATAACAAAAATGTAAATGAAAATGAAAAAGAAATAAAAAATCCTAATCAAGCCTTCATTTAATCAAAGTACCTTCCCAATCAAAGGTAGGCCATTGATGTGTTTGTCACGTAATTGGCATAGTTAGACGACAAAAGTAATGGAGTACAAATTATGTCAATGACGGCAATTATTTTAAAAAAAGAAAAACAGACTTGGCCATGGTAGGTATACTAGTTTTAAATTTTAATTAATTATTAACCACACGGTAATCAAACTATTATTCTAACATAAACGTACGGATGTGGTTGTGACAAGTGCTGAGAACGTACTGAACTACTGACTAGATTAGAAAGGAATCAAGGTAATTTACTTCATTGGCTAATTGTGATTCATTAAAATGGACTCCTTATTCTTGTAATCATAATCTTGTTGCTTTTATCTTCGATTAGCTCACTGAGAAATAACACTAGCCAAGCATTTGACAGTTTTGAGGAGCTCAAATCAATTTAAATATTGATTTACTACGACATTTTTTTTTCAATTGCTCTTTGATTTTTATTAGAAAAGTATTGTTTTGTCATAATTATTCTTCTAATTTCAAAATACATACCCTAAAAAGTATGAAAACTCGAATATAAATCCAGACAAAACATGAGGATAACCTACCCAGTATAGCCGCTGGCAAAAATAATATATATATATATATATATATATATATATATATATATATATATTTAGCTAGCTGATGTAATTTTTTTTTTTTGCAAACCGACCAAATATATAACTTGCCCAAACATGCATCAACAATTGGACCACCTAGTATTGGTTAATTTTCACAAGTATTATTTATTTGGGTATTATCACTTTTAGCCCGTACCAGAAACTATTAAATCTGGTAGCCGAAAAAGTATATAAAATTTATATAATTTTTGTATATAATATACACAATGTATACATATACAAAAAAAATATAAATTTTAAATATTTATTCGACTATTATTTTTAAGGCGGCTATACAATGTCATTTTTTCATTATTTATTACTAGTCTTTAAGATATATTGGCATTTTCACATGAGCCATTGAGCTGCGTCCGTCGAAACCGAAAGGGACCATTTAAGGCAAGGTGGATGCAGCGCCACGGGAACATATTCTTACATCAGTTTGATATTACTTTATGTGCGAAAGCATTTGTTTGATCATTTGTCCCTACAATAATAGCGTGTACGTAGACCTTACCCCTACCATAGGGAAGAGAGGCTGTTTTCAAATAGACCCCCGACATCCTTCCCTCCAAGAACTTCCCATCTTGCTCTTGGGGAGACTCAAACTCACAACCTCTTGTCTCATTTGTCCCTACCTTTTTCGTAAAAAGTTCTTTACTTTTTTTTTTGAAGGATAAGTACTTCGCAAGACGGATTCAAGAATATTTAAATTTGATTAACATAGTATTTAAAATTTTAATACTAAATTTATCGTACTTTTAAAATTATAAATTTAATTTTTGTTAAATGTTTACATATGTTTAATGTATTCATATAATTATGTTTCGTATAATAAATATTGCATGCATTTGAACCTATTGTTCAAGGGCTGCATCCACAACTTCGAAATACTTTTTTACAGACCTTTCTTTTTTGAAATACTCACATAACTTTTAGTAAATGACATCAACCAAAGGTGCATAAGCTTTCCCTGTAAGAAAACCTTTTCTAATGAACTTCCTGAAGAAGAGTTTTATAGTAAAAAGTTGTCGAAGGAGGTTGAGGATCGTTTTACAGTACTGTTGGAGAAAAAAAAAAAGGAAGTCCCTAATTTAATTAGTTTCTTTGCAAGAAAAGAAAGAACATAAATTACTGGATGAAGAGATCAGTGTCTTCCTAGTTAGATAAAAAAAATTTAAAAAAATCATTTTTTTGTTTGATCCAAAAAATATTGAAACATTTCTGATTATATCAATTAATGAAGATAAAGAGGTAAATCTCAGCTAAGTATAATTAAATGTTGGATATTTGGTTTGGGTCGCGGATTGCCCATATGGATTGACCCTACCCATTTAAAGGAGATAAAACCTAAAGAGGTTACCTAGGGAGGTTAAAACACAGATAAAATAAAATAAAAAACTGTTGCACGTTAGAGAGAAGGGGAACTTGGGATAGAATATGAGCGGGCAATTTTTTCCTCTCTTGAAACTCTTCTCTCTCTTTTATATATATCTTTATTCTTCAATAGAGAAAGATAGAAGACCTGAAGTAATTCTCCCTCAAGAAAACACACTGCGAAAAAGGTATTTAGATCGTGAACAAAAGTTCTGTTTCCTGGAGATTCAGAATACGATTTGGGGCAATTCCTTTGGTTGTGAGTTCAACAGTTTTTGCTACGTCAATAAGGTACACAACTTGTTGTTCTCGCCCCGCGTTTATTAATCTAACAATGGTATCAGAGCCACCGTTGTTTCTCTGCTAAAGTACTGTTTGTAGCAACATATGTGAAAGATGATATGTTTATATCCTCCCTCTATGAACTTTAATGGGTTTGCTAGTGTTGCCAAAGTAATGTCCTTTTTAGGTTCAAACACTACTACTGCTTCACGTACTCAAAATTTTTAACAATCCCACGTAATGAGTATTTGAATCCTTTGTAAAATTGAGTTGATATTTTTTTTTGGAAGAACAGTAGTTGTGCCTGAATATTCTTTTATTGTCACAACACATACACCAATATCAAATTTGTTTTCTTGCCTCTGGTTCAATGAAGTTGACCGATTTACTTCACGTGACCAACTAAGCTTCGCATATACATTCATAAAACTGAAGAGAATGAATCCAGACAAACCATTCCATTTAAATATATTTAAGGACTGTGAGCGTAGGTCACTAGTCAAGTTATTTCATCACAGAGATCCATCCTCTCCACCTCCTCCAAGAATAAGTTAATATTCTTCATTATTTACAAGGACTTGGTAAACTGGACCTCTTGCTCATCCCACTTGAACTAATATTCAGTATGTTGATGAACTGTGCATTTAATTGACAGCTAGATATTATACATATTGGGATGGAATTATTTTAGGCTCTACTGACTAGGTGATAGAACTTCCATTGAATACCTTTGGTTTGTTATTTTAGCCCAAGAGAATGGGCAGTAACTCACTGATCTGCCTTTGAGCCACCCTCTTCTTGTGATTGAGGACGGAGTAGTAAGCTCGTAAGGTGGCACTGCAGCTTGAATTATCATTGCTGTTGGATA